GAGAGAGAGAGAGAGAGAGAGAGAGAGAGAGAGAGAGGGGGGGCAGAGACAGAGACAAGAGACAGAAACAGACAGAAAGAGAGACAGAAAAGAAGACAGAGAATGGAGAGAGGGGGAGGGAGGGAAGAAGAAACAAACAGACAGAAAGAGAGCGACAGAAAGAGAGCGACAGAAAGAAATAGAGATAGGGACAAAGTGAGGGGGTGGACAGAGAGATAAATAAAGAGCGAGAGAGAGAAAACTGGCAGAGGGAAGAGGAAAATAGAAAAAGAGAGAGAGATAAACAAAGAGAGAAACAGAGAGAAATAGAGACAGAGAGAGAATGGGAAGAGGGTAGGGGGGGGAGAGACAGAGAGACACAGACAGAGAGAGAGAGAGAGAGAGAGAGAGAGAGAGAGAGAGAGACAAAGGGAGAGAGAAAGAGATAGAAAGAGAGGGGGCGGAGAACATCAGATTGAGATAACATAGAGAGGTGAATGAAGAGAGAAGAAAGAGGAACATGTCGATAAAGAGAGAGAGAGAGAGAGAGAGAGAGAGAGAGAGAGAGAGAGAGAGAGAGAGAGACAGAGAGACAGAGAGACAGAGAGACAGAGACAGAGAGGGGGGGGGGAATTGGTGGATAACTCACTTGAAACAAAGCGTAGTAACCAAAGAGTTCTCTCATCCGCGAAGTCTTGAAACTTCTGTCGGCTTTCGAGAGTCTCACATCTTCTCTTGTAATGGCTTCTTGCTCGTGTGGTGGCATTCTGTGCATCACAACTATCGCTTCACACTCGAACGGGAATGAACCAAAATCCGGGCCGATAAACATGCGTACTTTCGGGAAGTGTGTACGCCATAATTTCTCCATCTGTTCCATCGGGCTTCGAGAAAGGATGCTGATCGTCTTCTGGCGTTGGCGGATTTCGAAGTCATCGTCCATCCCACCTGAAGATAGGAAAAAGATTAAAGAGAATCTTTTTGGTTTATTTGTTTGTTTGTTTGTTTGTTAGTTTACACATTTTTACGCCTAAATCATTATGATCAAGTGCCAGGTCTGCAACAGGCATTGACCATTATCATCATGGTTCGTCTTTCATGCGTTTGCTCTATGCTCAAATGAAAAACAAACAATTATCCTGAATATTTTCCCCATCACCCATCTGCCCAGGCTTCCCAAGTAAGTTGCTCTAGGTCTGCTCCTGTTGCCTTCAAATTTACAAGTGAGAGAAAGATGATAAAGGCCTGTTTGTCGATCCAAAAGTATCCTATCGACACCATTTAGATCATTTAGAAGGTGGCGCAGCTTCAACCCTGCCTGTCGAAGGTCAAAGTCAATCAGATTTCGACTAAGGTTGATTATGACGTTTTTGGGGTGAACCAGAATATCAATCCCTAACAAAAAAGGATAAAATGAAATATGAAATTGCTGTACCCATGAATGTTTTAATCAACCGTTCAGAAACACCGTCGATGTCCATTTAATACACTTTACTACTGTTTGAATCTTAGTGAAAAGAACGCACGCTAATCAACAGAACAAAAAAAAGTGCAGTTCCTAAGAACATTTTAG